CCTTCTTCTTCCACCTCTTGGTCTTCTTCCTCTCATTCTTTTTCCTCTTCTTCTTCTTTCTTTCGTGAACACAGCTTTGACTTAGTCTATGCACTAATATTCTGTACAAATTGGCAAATTGTGAATGTATGTAAATCAAAAGATATTTCTATTAGTTTATGTAGTGGAAGAAGTCCCACCGTTCTGTGAACTTCCACCATCCTATACATTCCATAATGGCACCTTTCTGTAGCCTCTGTGCGAATGTTGATTAGCCAGTGTTTGTTGAATATAGTGCAGTTTGGAAATGACAAAAACCATTCGCCCAAATCATAAGCTTCGCAACTCCGTTAAGTAGATGAAAGGTCGTCTTTCAAAAATTCAGAAGTTTTATGACTCGTGAAGACGACGAAAGCTACTGGGAAAGAAACAATCATTTTTCGAAAATCGATGTGGGCCATTTAAAGGAAGATATATACAAAAAGGACATGAACCGAAGATGAAACTCCACCAAGCCTCCTTTCGGGCGCAAGAATAAACGGCAATTATTAACCGTTTGTTCATCACTTTGCCTCTTTCAGACTTAATGGCTAGCGCCAATCGCGCCCATTCTTCATTCTCGATGGCCATTCTGCATTCTTCATGGAGATTCCTGCACTCATGGCAATTTCGTTGTTGCTAGCCATTAATACGTTATTAATTGCAACGACGAAACGTTCACGACTTATATGATCTTCATGTTTCTTTACTTCTGTTTCTGCCAGCAAGATCCGGGAAGAAAACTTCTACGTTAGATCGGGCAATGACCTTTGCGTGAGGTCTTATGCTTGGTTCACATATGGAGAGGTCCATTTTCCTTTGTCGTTATGGCCACCGTGTAAACCTGCAAGATAAGTTGTCCGCATAATCGACTAACGAAGTTTATGTGTCTTCAGTTTAACCTTTATGCCAAAATCTGTTTAAAAGCTAAACCTATTCTGCGAAGTAATTCAACAGTTTCGAGAATATTCGAGAGTATCAGTAAAGCATTGAAGAATGGAGTACTAGAGCACTCAAAAGTACAATTTCGAGAAACGTCTTGAGTACTGATCCTGACAAATGAGCACAGAGATTTGCGACCACTGTCTATATCTGGCATTACGAAAATGGCATTGATAAGCTTTCTCCATAATGTCTACTACTTTTTAAATAGGTACAGTATTTGAAAAAAAAATCAAAATAGAGTTCAGAATAAGAAAACTAGACGAATTGGGAAATCGCTTGGTTTAAATTCATTCGTTTCTCATAATTCAACTTCGGAGTTCCGGCGAAGACCAAATAGGCGATCAAGGAGTAGATCAAAGAGAGTGAAAAGACGGTAGAGTTTGCAGTTGGCACTCAATTGGTGGTCGAGGCAAGTGCGTCCACCAAGAACCGTGAAACGATCGCCTGACGATACACAAACATGACGGATCTTGACGACAGATGTCCTTCTGGTTCCTGAGCTATTTTGTCAGAAAGAAAGGCACCCAACCATAAACGTTTGATACACTTGGAGCCATCGCTATCGGATAATCTTCAAATAAAGAAGAGTGAAAAACTTTCTTCTCGCAAAGAATGATTACTTGTAGAAAAAAACAGGATGTTCGAGCTGATGGATAACGCATGATGTCCGGATACGAAGAGAAAACAATGTTTACTGCGCTCGTTGTACAGTCAATACCTGGGGAATTTTGCGCAGCAGTTTTGCCCAAATTAGTGCATTCATTTCGAAACCTCTCTTAATGATGGATGACACTCGACGTTGTTGACGTTTAGAAATTTCAAGTATTTACATTCGAGATGATTTCGTGGCGATATGGCCATCTGGGCGATCGAGAACTTCTTTTAAAAGCTGATCGGGTGCACAGGCAAAGTGCATAAGTTGGTGAAACTCACCCTAAGGTGATTTTTTAATTTAAGATTATAATATTGTCTTCAAAAAATCTGACCTCATTATGGTAAAAAAGAGGCATAGAGAAAAGAAAAAGGAATCAGAGAAGTAAATAGAAAAAAGAAGGAGCAGAAGCAAGCGACGAACAAAAAGAACGAGAAAAAATGTGGAAAACTATGGCTACAATCGTTTTATTATTTTGGGGAATTTTGATTTCTCATTTGCTGAGCCAAGGAACTCCCTAACTGCTGTAAAAAGCCGAGATCTGATGACTGCGACGAATGAATGTTGACAACTTCAGAGCGTCTCAAATGAGGAGTCACAGGCAGTTCCTCAGTATCAACTGTATGAGTTAAACACTGTTATTGCCAAACTCGTTAAAATACTCAGTGCCAGGGACCATATCTTTCTTTGCTGAATTGTCATGTTTAGCCATAAGAGAAAACTTTAAACTGAGGCTCCTGCCCAGTAGGTAGGTTGGTTGGTTAACAGTCCGCCC